AGTTCTTCGGGTGAGGTGTCTCTGCTCGACTCCTTTTCTCTCCTGAGGACGAGGAGGCTTTTTCGCATCCTAGTCAGAAATAAAGAAGATAAAAAAAAAAACCACAACAAAAAAAATACATACGATAACAGAGAAAGTCCAGTGCACGGAGAAGTTGTTCCCGGGAAGCAGCCCAGTGCCGGTTTACTCGGTCCCAGCATCCCCATGATGCGTCCGCCTAGGCCCAGTACTCACCATCGGGGCCTCCCCGTCCAGGCAGCCCCGCAGTCCCTGGCGCTCCGCTCCCTCGGCGACCCCGGGCTGCGGCCGCTCGAGCGGGCGGGGACAAAGGGAGAGAAGAAAAAGGAGCGGCGAGGAGGAGGCTTCGCCCGGCGCCGCCAGCCCGAAAACAACGGCCCGGCCCAACCCCGCGATGGTGCCCGCGGCCGCCCCGGCCCCCGGAGAAGGTCAAAGACGGCTCTTTCCAAAACAATAAACTTTTAATGCTAAAGCAGTTATAACCAAAAGCTGTACAGAGTTGGATTTTTTTTGCTGTATTTTTTTTTGTTAGAAAACAATTTTTTCTCCCCCATAAATATTGTTCAGTTCCCGGCACTTTGAATCAATAATTAAATTACGAACGATAAATATGGCATCATGGATATGTATTTACAAAAAAAGTTATTACAAAAAGGCAACTGTTATACTAAACGTCACAATCTGGGTAGAATAAACACCACATCCTCATCCTGAAAAATACTGACCGACCCCATCAGACGAGAATACATTCACAAGTGTAATGCTTAGAGAGAGAAAGAGAAGGAGAAAGAGGAGGAGAGCAGAGAAGGAAGCAGCAGGAGAGCTAGAGAGGAAAGTTCAAGACATAACAGGACTTTGGCACGGTTTAAGACTGTAAGTTTAAACAATCACCACTAAGGCGAAGGAGAATTTTCATCCTCATGTCAACATCCCACCAAAAGAAGGAAAAACAAAGCAAATAAAAAATAATAAAAAAGTGGGGAATCAGAGGAAGAGGGACTGGGGCAGGGAGGGAAAAAAATATCAAAGAAACGACTGTGACTGCAAAAAATGACAACAAAAAAAAATCCAATCCTGAGAAAAGGACATGGCTAGTCCAGCATCTGGGCTTGCAAAAAAATAGTAATAATTATATTATAATAAAAGACACCACCCCCGGATCCTGGCAGTTAACTAGGTTGTAGCCCTATGTAGTCGTCGGTGTGGAAACTCCATTTCCATGGGAGCGAGCTGCAGTTGGCTTGGTTTGTCGTTTTTATTTTTTTTTCCTTGTTCCCAACGCATTTGGTCCAGTCTCTGGCTGGGCAGCAGCTGCCTTCACACATACCACTCATTAAAATTGGGGGGCAGTCCAGGGTTGTGGCCGGGGTTACTCTGAAGGGCGGCCGGCGGCATTTTAGTGGAGTCCTTACTGCCAGTGGAGCCCACCGCAGGGGGGGTAGAGGACTCATACCCCGAACTGGCTGCAGGGGAAGAGTCCGACCCTTGGGATTCGTGCACCTAAAACCAAGAGGCAGAGATGGGAGCGAGTTCGCAGTCCCTGCCACCCCGCTGAGCCAGTCTAGGGTGCTCTTCCATGCAGGAGGGACACTGGGGTCCAGCAGCGTGGCCCCTGCCCGGCAAGCTGGCAGTTCATGCCTTGCCGGCTACCCCGAGCACGGGCCTCGGCTCCCTGCCACTTCACTGCAGCGTCACAGCA